GTTGGGTCAACCGCCACTGTGTACGAACAGTCGGCTGCGCGCCAGGCTCCAGCTGGATTTTGTGGTCCTCGGGGCGTTCGGGTGGCAATCCAGGTGGTAGGTCGTCGGGGAAGATGTCCGGGTACTGTCGAATCAACTCCGCTAAATCAGGTGGTACAGCTGCGCACAGCTTCTCGATGTCCTTTCCGTCGGTGTCGGTTGCCAACTCGCGCAAGCATACGGCGAACAGCTGCACGCCTCGGTTGAAGTGGCGAGCAATAGCGATGGCTTTGACGCACGGGTCTTGAATGTAGTTAGGTGTCCATGCAGGCAACTTAATTGGCCCCTCGTGCTTGCTGATGCTGCACAATCCCGTTGTCCAGTCGATGACGGGGTTGTGCCGTCGCAGCCAATCACGTCCCAGCAGCACGTCGCAGCCATCCAACGTTGTCACGAGAAACTTCATGCTGAAGCCGAAATCGTCGCCGCATTCGATCCGCACCGTCCGTGTTTCTTCCAAAATCGCCAGAGGCGTCCCATCCACGAGGCGAGCGTCGATTTCGGGCAGACACCTGTCAAGTTGCAGCTTGCATTTTTTTGCTGTCGCCAAGTTGAAGAGGCTATGGCTGGCCCCTCCGTCGACGAACATTTTCAAATATTTTTTTAACACTTTGCCAACGACCAGCACAGGGTGATCCACATGGTTATCCCCGCTTTTCGGCCGAGTGCGATCGATTGCATGAATCGGAACCACGACTCGGTGGGGATGATGGTGTTCGGGCGACAGAGCACAGTCAGTAAGGGGCCCGTCTGTTACTGACTCTTCCCATTTCCCGGCTCTTTCCCGTCGTTCCTCTTCGCCGGCGTTCTCTCGGGGCAGTCTGCATATTTGTGACCCGGCTTCCCGCACTTATAACACAACCCTGTGTAGGGGCGGTCTGGTGCATGGACTCCGTTGATCGTGGCCCGTTGGGTCTGGCCGCGAAAACGATTTCCCTCCCGGAAACTCGACCTCGCGTACTGAATCAGCGCGTCCGTGGATTCTGCCAACCGTGCTGCTTCCAGGAACGATGTCGGGCGGCATCGGCGCACCTCAAACTGTATCTCGTATTTAAGGCCGCTGACGTACTTGTCTAACCGCTCCGCTTCCGACATGTCGTCCACTTGGTCGGCGAGGGCCATGAAATTTGATGTGTAGTCTTGGACAGATGCCAGCTGCGACCAGGTACGCAGCTTCATGCGAGCTTGTTCCGAGCCGGATATGTGCTCGAAGCGATCTCGTAAGGCTGCGCCCCACTCCTTCCACGTGCGTATCTTGGTCACGCCGAATATCGGTGCTGCCACTTGATTAACCGACGTTGAAGTCCCGTCTGCCGCATGTGTCACACCTGTCGGGGTCCCCGTGTCCAAGGTTCGGCGCCACCACTCAAGCGCTGCACCTCGAAGAAGAGAAACTGCGTAATTAATACGCGTGGCGTCGTCGTTCACGCCTGCTGCAGTGAAGAAGACTTCAACGTCGAAAAGCAACCCCTTCACTGTTGTAGTCTTGTCCGTAGGGTTGAACGGGGGCGGGTTGACGGGTTTAATCTTGATCGTCGTTACTGCAATTGGCGTCGCTGCCGCTCGCTGCCTATCTTCTTCTTCGAAATCACGTGTGAGCGCGTCAAACGGGTTGCTCACCACTTGACTGTTGCCCTCGCCTTCTTCATCGCGCGACTCCTGACGCGCTTCACCTCGCGTCTGGCGTAGCTCGGCGTTTTCTCCTCGTAGTGTTGTCACTTCTGCCGATAGTGTCTTCACTGTTGCCTGTAGTGCTGCCATTTGCGCCAACATTTCGTCCAACTTCTCCTGGTCCATGAGTCTCACGCTTCGTCTGGTGGGCAGAGGGGTATCCGTGGCCTTCCGGTGAGTGAAAGACACGAACTATCGGAGTCGGGCAGGATTGAATTAACAAACCTTGCAGCCAACCGTCGTGTAGTCCACTATACCGACCACACCCGTGCCACCAAACTACCCTCGAAAAGCGGGGTGAACTAGGAAAGTAGCTCTGATACCAGGTGTTATGAGTTGTAAAAGAGAGTGCGCGGAATAACGGATAACGAAGATGTGACTCAATGAACTGACAATACAATGAAGGCACGCGCTAATATAGTGGGCCAACCTAGCTAGGCGGGAACCTCGGGAACACGAGGTTGGGTGCAGGTTGGGCAAAGGAAAGGCCGAAGGCGACGCGAGGTTGCTTCGGCAGCAAGCAAAGTGGCCGAACGTGCACTTCCGAAAGTTGGGGTTGTACGCGGTTGAGTAAACCCCTGTAAGGAAATGGGTTTTTTCTTACACCCCGTCACGCACGTTACCCCAAATCGCTTCAGGCGAGGATACATCATCGATTTTGCCAATTGGCGGACCGACTCTCCCCTGCAGCGAAGCAACCAACCTCCCTCCCTGCCCAGATTGTCCCCTTCGCTTCCACCCTTCCCTTCACCCTGCCCAGATTGCACCCCTCGACACGCCTCAGCTCGCCACCACCCCCGCTGCATTAGCCAGCCGCTTCGATAACTAATTCGCATTAGCTATTCCCTATCACTCCTACCAACCGCCTAGTCGGACCCGAAGAACACCATTCTCACGTGTCAATCACGTCCAAGCGTAGTCCGTACTCTAATCATTGGCCATGGCGGCTCTAGCGAGTCGCATACCGCCTTCACGTCAGAGTCGGACCCCAAGTGCGAACTTTTCCAAGGGCTATAAATTAGACAATGCGGCTCACCTCAATCATCACAGCTTCTACCTCCGTTTCCTCTTTCCTGCCTTCGATCTCGCATACCTGCCACCTCGCGGCTCACGGATTTGAATCATCCCGTGTGATACGGTTAGCTTTTCATCGCTGATCCTTAGCCTCTGTGTGACCATCGAACCGATCTCTCAATGGCCGACGCCTTGCTTCACTCGGCTCGCAAGCTGCTTCCTCTCACTCTCTCCCTCCTGCTCCTCCTCGCCGTCACGAGGACCAGCTGCGCGCGGCCTATCCTTCACCCGTCCCCGTCCGACACCAGCGCGGAATCCGCGGTATCCCTGCTCAGGGTGGAGCGGAAATTGTTCAGCTGGGACGATTTGACCGAGGAGCAGATTATTAACGGCAGCTTGGGCACGATTGACGGTCCACGTGACGAGGCGGTGACTCAGTCGGTCGTAGAATTATTCTTGAACGCGGGGTACAACGTGATGGTCATTCAGAGCAAGCACTCCGTGCAGGGCGACCCGGCGTCCGCGCAATTGGAGGTGCGGCATTCCGGGGATATATCGAAGTTCACCGTGTATTACAAGAAGGGTCGTTTCTGTGTGAAGAATCTTGGCAATGGCGGGTACAAAAACTGGGCGTTCGGAGGCGTTTGGAAGCGGGCCGGCGTGGATAAAAAGGTTGTCGTCTTTTCCTGATTTCGTAGTTGCTCTAGAGCCTTGGCGTTCAGGTTTACGATAGTTGATATAAGGAGGTGACCTCATCAACCGTGGTGGTGTCGTTGTTATGCTTGTTGCTGTGGAATCTGCAATATTTTAGTAATTTATTTATGTGTGTGAGTGACGCTGATCCGTAGAATGCAATGATCCTCTCTACAAACTTACCTGTACCTTCACAATACAATTGGGCTGAAACTACTGCTCCGGATGAGCTTCAATGTGTACTTCTGCGTAGGGCACATACAGAGCAATCCCACAATATGTTTAGTGACCAAGAAAAACCATGAAGTGACAGACAGCCATGGTTGGTTACACACCATAAACAGCGTTGAAGGCTGGAAATGCAAAGTTTACGGGCTTGCACCTCTATCGTTATACCGTAGGTACACTCAACAAGGTTGGCTATGGTTGCTGGCTGTCGTGGAGATGTCTAGCGGTGGGGAGCGGTATCATATTTTTACGGTGAATGCTTCGAGAAACCCGGCGCGTCGGGGCGTGCTGAGGCGTTCCGCACCACCTTATGGGCTGGCTTCACCGCAGCTGAGGCAGCTCGGTTCAGCGCCCAGAGTCCAGACCAATCGGCAGGCCCGGTCGTCACATCCACATCATCATCGCAAAAACAAACTCGTTACTGTATGGTTGCGCCCCCGCGGAATTTCACATCGTCAAATTTGACGGTTCGTGCTGTGAGAAGCACCTTATTGGTTGGCGCGAATCGTAGGGAGGGAAGGGACGGAACCGACGAACCAATGTGTTTTCGGCAACGGCGTGAGCGGTGATGGTCGCGTCGCGTCGAGTGGAATCTCTCCCTCGCGGTCACAGCGTTCGTGGCCGTGAGGTGATTGTCGTGGGGATTCGGGAAGCCTCTGTTGCCACAACAACCCAGCAGGTGTGCGGAACTAGGCTTCTTGGTCCGGCCAGTGGGACGTGGGTGGGAGACGAAGTCCTGGATTTGCGATAGACTTTCTGTAACATTGAAATAACGAAACGTTTCAAAGAGCTCGCTGGTTCAATAATCCTCGCAAAGCCCCCATCCGAACCCAGGCGAAAATTGTTCGACTTTCGCTAACGAACCATCTTCTAGACCATCCTCCCGAAGCAAAGATAGCCTTTCCCCAGCCTCGGTTCTGTTTTGACCAAGCCAGGGAAATCGCTCTGCACTGTGCTGGTCAGTGGTGGTCACGTCACACACGCTTTCCCATAACCGACCATACACCCTTCCGTTCTCCTTTCCCTTTCTTCCTTTGTCCCACGCGTTGAGCGGAACCGACTACTAGCAACCAGAATGATTGGCGACGCGCTGTCCGCTTCTTGGCAATCACAGTAGTAGTGGGCCGATGGACGGGTCAACTTATAAGTTTCATTACACAGCTATTTGTGACCAGAGTTAGAACCGTGGATGTCTTTCAACAACTCTCGCCCCGCTAGTTTTTGCAGCAAGGAAACCACGTTTGAGATTACTAACGATTACGCCCTGTTGACGTTGAAACACTCCAAATCCTGATTACTGAACCCGTCGTATAGAACGTAACCCGCGCGAATCGTAGTTAAGAAATTGTTAAACCATGGATCCCGTCAGACTATTCTCCGATGCCTTCAGTGTAGATTATTCCGCCGCAGCGTATCTCGTCGGCGCGCTTTCGTCCGTCCTCGTCGCGTACCTTCACCGGTTTATCCGCGCTCCCGCGCTTCGCCACGTATACGCCGCAGTTTCTGGGGTGCTTCTATCTCTAATCTCCTTCACTCCCGACGTGCTGCTGCATTTCATCCTCGCAGCGTCCTTCACTCTCGTCGTCATGCGGACGCAGCGAAGCATCTGCGGACTGGTTACCTTCATTGGTACATTCGCACATCTCATCGCATGGTACGTGGATTCCATCGAGATCGCCTCAGGGCAGGTCGCATCAGAGGCAGGTTGCATCAGAGGCAGGTTGCATCAGAGGCAGGTTGCATCAGAGGCAGGTCGCATCAGAGGCAGGTTGCATCAGAGGCAGGTTGCATCAGAGGCAGGTTGCATCAGAGGCAGGTTGCATCAGAGGCAGGTTGCATCAGAGGCGGGTCGCATCAAATTCGCGTAGTAGCTCGCCTTGTAGAAGTCGACTGGACAGCGCCTTCCCACCATGGCGTCTTTTGAGATGTCTCAGGAGGTCGACGGCCGCGCGATGTTCCCGTTCGGATGCGTCTCGAGATAAGGTTATTTGCTTGGAGCTGTAGCCATAGATTGTCCTTCTTGCTTACCCGAGAACTGCGCCGCAGGTCGCGCTGCTCCGAGCCGCGCTTGTTGCCGGTCACTTCGAGCGACGTGGGAATCGTCGCAATGTGGGAGTCGTTGCTCCTCCATTCTCTACTTTCTCTTGCTATCGTTTTTTAACCACGCCATAGGTTTATCTCCCATTCCCCCCTCTCCGGTGCGCTATGGACATCGTTTCCTCCCCCTTCCCTATCCCCCACTCCCCCCCCACCCCGCTTCCCCCGCTTCGCGCAACTCACCTGCCTCCCTTCCCATTGCCCAATCCCGCGCAGCCACGTCATCTTCATGAGCGACGACGCGCGGCGAACGGGCCGCGTGGACTTCACGGGAACTCTAACGATCGTGGCGATCAAGCTGACGTCACTCGCCATGGACTACCAGGACGGCCTTAAAGCCCTAAAGGACGACGCGAAGCGCGCTAAAGACGGCGAGAAACCCGAGAACGAGCAACCGTCGGGCGATGATCGGAGAAAGGCGGAGAAGCGGGCGAGAGTGATTAGAGAGATGCCGTCGCTGGTGGAGTTTCTAGGATACCTGTTCTGCTGCGGGCAGCATCTGCTCGGGCCGTGGTTCGACTATCAGTCGTACGACGACTGGACGCACCGACGCGGGGTGAGTGCGTAGGATGGAACCCTAATGGTACTAAGAGGGGGAAACGAGGAACCGGAATCTTAGAAACTTGTAGTGGGAGGTAACAAATAGTAAACAAGCAATGGGGACCATGAGACTCAGGTGGGATTACTCAGTGGGGCCATTACATCGACCGGACCCAGCAGTACGGGGTGAGTGCATACCAGGTAGAGAGTGGCTGGACCATGGTCAAGGTATAGCATGAACCCTAATTCTGAGGCTCAAGGCTGGCAAGTTGCTACTGAGTTGTTCTGCCGTGAATGAACAGTGGCGTTAGTCTAACATGACTAACTATGTTCATAAACAGGATGATTGGGCAGAACGTATCCATTGGCTTACCTACGAGGGTTTTGGGTCTAGGATTTGTAGTGGGACTTATTTCCACCTCCCTCCATCTTCCAATCCCTTTCCCCTCTCACCCTCGTCCAGGTTTTCTCACCCGCTGTGCGCTCTCCATCCCCCATCCCGCCCTCCCCTCTCTCCCGTTCCCCCTCTCTACTCACTCCTCCCCTCTCCCCCCCCGTAGGTGTGGTCCCCCGCGGTGCGCTCCCCATCCCCCATCCCGCCCTTCCTCCGCGTGCTTTTCCAAGGCGCGCTAGCAGCAGCCGTCTTCCTCCTCATATCCCCCACCTCGATCTCACCCTCGCCACCGACCCCACGCGCTTCTTTCCCACTCACTCCGACCTTCCCTCTCTCCTTCTCCCTCTCTTCCACCCACCCACTCTCTTTCTCTCCCGCCCCTTCCCTCTCCCTCCCCTCACCAGGTGTGGTCCCCCGCAGTCCGCGCACCCTCCCCCATCCCGCCCTTCCTCCGCGTGCTCCTCCAAGGAGCGCTAGCAGCAGCCGTCTTCCTGCTCATCTTCCCGCACCTCGATCTCTCCCTCGCCACCGACCCGGCGCGCTTCTTCGCGCTGCCCTTCCTGCGGCGCCTGCTGCTCGTGTTCCACGCCACGCTCGTCACGCGCTGGCGCTGCTACATCGTCTGGTCCATTGCCGAGGCTGCTATGGTGTCTGGCGGGCTGGGATTCTCCGGTTGGGTCACTAAGCCTAGTGCTGCTGCTGCTGCTGCCGCTGCTGCCCCTGCTGCCCCTGCTGCTGCTGGTGTTGCTGCTGACACGACTGCTGCTGCTGCTGCTGCTGCTGCTGCTGCTGTTGCTGCTGCCCCGGCTGCTGCAGGGGAAGGGAGAGCAGATGAGCACGATGGAAAGGAGAACCACACAGAGAGGAATGGTGGGACGAGTGTCGGCACAGGACAGGCAGCCGCAGCAGTGGGAACAGCAGGAGCGGCCGGAGCCGATGGTGGGCGGGTGATGATGGGAGAGCTAGTGAACAAGCAGGGAGGCAGCACAGCGATGGCTGGAGTGAAGGGCTCTGCAGTAAGTGGAGAGAAGAAGAGAGCACACGCTGCCACCTCTGCTGCTCCTGCTGCTCCTGCTCCTGTTACTGCTCCTGCTCCTGCTCCTGCCACTGCTGCTGCCGCTGATGCTGATGACGCCCCTGCGTGTTCACGTGCGGAACGGCAGGTGGCGGCGTCAGGTGGCGAGCGACAGGTGGCGTCGTGGGATAGGGCGCGCAATGTGAATATCCTCGGCATGGAGCTTGCTAGCACGGGTGCTGACGTGGCGAAGAACTGGAACATTTCCTTCAGCACGTGGCTGCGCATCTGTAAGCATCATATCAAAACCGTTGCTGCTACCTGCATTTAAGCACCATTTTTAACCCGTGCTATGACCCCCATTGTCCCTCGTTGCCTTGCCCCTTTTTTTCCGTTACCATCCTTTGCTGTGACTCATTTGTCCCCCGCCCCCCCACTTCCCCTCCCCTCTCTTTCCCCCATGGTGCTCCCCACACTGTGCTCTCCCCATGGTTTTCGTTCACCCCACAGACGTGTATGAGCGGCTGGAGGCAATGCCTCGGAAGGGTGCGCTTTTCAACCTGCTCTTCACGTTCTTCATCAGCGCAATCTCGCATGTGAGTCACGCCATCTCACATGTGAGTCACGTCACCTCCCCCCCGTGAGCACAGCTTTCTCACTCACTCAACACATCACTGACGACAGCCAGCCATAACACCTCCGTCATGCGTTTTACAAACCAAAACAGCTGGCTCTCTAACGAGCTTCTGACATCAAGCTTGCTTCATTCCCCTCTTTGTTCGTTCCTCGCTCTTCAAGCCAGATTATCGAATCGACTTACGAGTCCTCATCTTCTCACACTTTGTTCTCTCCTCTCTCTCTCTCGAATCTCCCCTGCCCCCTCTTTCCCCTACTCAGGGTCTGAACCCAGGGGATTTGATCGGATTCGCGCACTGGGCGCTCATGATAGCAGGCTCGCGTGTCATCTACCGCTGGTCGCGGCCTCTGGCTCCAGGCTCACTGCAGCGTCGCGCTGCCTCGCTGCTGCACTTCCTCTACGTGCTCCTCTGCATCAACTACGCTGGCTTTGGCTTCAGTGTGAGTGTCTTGTGCATCTTGCAATGCGTAATAGCTCAGCACTTGCGTCTATGTTGCCTCGCTTCCTGCTGCACTTCCTCTACGTGCTTCTCTGCATCAAGTATGCGGGCTTTGGCTTCAGTGTGAGTGCCTTGCGTCTTGGGATACATTAGATCAGCAGTTATGTCTACGTTTGGTTGGTGATGGGTGCCAGCAACTTCAGGCACCGCATTCTTTGCCTGCCTGCGTGTGCCTCGCTCGCTCCTTCCCTTATCAGGACCCCTCCCCAACCACTCCCCCCTCCTGGAGTTTCTCTGTCCGTCACTCGCACTCACGTGCACGTGCCTTTCACTCTCCCCGTCACTCTCGTGATCTTCCTTCCTGCAGGTGATGACATTCCAACACACAGTACAAGCATACAGAGGACTCTACTACTATGGCACAATAGTGCCCGTGGTGCTCATCCTGGCAGGCAACTTCATCCGAGCACCAAGGCCCAGGGGGGCCAAGAAAAGCCTCAAGACAGAGTAGAGTAGCCAGGAGGACCGCCATGTGGAATCAAATTAGCATAAGCATGTTTAGATTTGGTGGTGTTTTCTAGTTTTGTGTAAACACTAGAATATTTATTATTTGGAGCCCGGTTCCCCTCGTTCCTGCTCTTACAGATATCAATTGTTGCGGTGTGAGCATGATGCTTCCAAAACATATTATGATATCTTGCTACTCTTGACACCCCCCTGTCCCATGGCAACATTATTGATGCTCATCTCGGGTCGCAAAGTGTCAGTATGCAAACGTCTTTAGTAGTGATGATATGGACACTTCAGATTGCGAGGAGGATTGGGTTAAGCTTATTTCTCATGCACTTCCCTATAATGAATGTAATGAAGGGGCCACAACAAAACACAATACCGTAACTCTTGTTTAAAATCACTGGGATATCCCTTAGCTTGTTACTCCCAAATTCTGTAGCTGTAGGTGCTGCTGTGGCGATTCGGTTGGCTTCGGTGCGAGGAAGGGAACAGAGCAACCAACAAACATTTGACTGGACCCCACTCGACTCGTCTGTTCGTCGCAATCGGGTTAAAGCGACGGTGCACATTTGCCACCCAAAACCCGAGACCCTGGCGAACTGTTACTGCGGATGGAAAGTGTCCGCACGAAATCCTGGTTTTCGCCAGCCAGCACTTTCGCGCTGGCAAGCCTGGTTCAAAAAAAAAACTTCTGAACCCAACACTGCCAAAAGTTGCCCGTCGCTTTAATTTCGCGATGGTCCGATTTCGTTCCGATGATTTGAGACGCCCACTACATTTTCTCCCATTTTCTCGTCTCCACAATTCCCCTGCTGGCCAGTGAATTCCCTAGGTATGCTCGTCGGTGACCACCGTTGCCAGCTCATGCGGCTGTTGTCGCTTCCCGCCTAGCTTGCCGGTTCCCACCGCGTTACATGCGCATCTGCGCTGAACCATGTGGACCGGGAGAGCTCTCGTTCACGTAGTGCGTGGATGAGGACGAGAATGCGCCAGGCTCGTCTCACCGATTGCCACGAATCCCGGTCATTAGTTCTCGTACATTTACTGAAGGTGTATTGAACTTCCTTCAGTTTCGCTGGTCGAGCTACCTTCAAATGCGTCTCGCGCTGTCTCTGATACGGTAGAAGCTCTTGGCTGTGTAGTAAGAATTGACCTGTCACCGCATTAATTATCGGCACAACCACTGCTTGCTATCTTTAGTCAGACAAGCAGCTGCAACTTGTTCCTACTATCGATCGAGCCGGATTCCACTGGCCTCCAATACCCCGTTGCAGAGCGGCTCATTATTATCGTTTGGCATTGTCGCAGCATTCCATCACTGCACTCCGACGCTTAGGTCCATTCGCAGGCTTCGAATCCCCTCTTTATTTGTTAGCAAATTATTGTGACTGCGTGAGCTGCAAAACGTGACGATAGCAGTCCTCAGCTGTGACTGTAACCCGCGTGACTTATTCGAGAGCGTCAACGCCAGCAGCGCCATGTCGTCGTCCGCCGAAGCGCCGTGCGAGGCGGCGCCGTGGGTGGTGGGAGTGACGGCGCGCGCGCCGAGCAACATCGCGGTGATTAAGTACTGGGGGAAGCGCGACGAGGCGCGCGTGCTGCCGCTTAACGGCAGCGTGAGCGTGACGCTCCACGTGGACCAGCTAGCCGCCGAAACCACCGTCGCCGTCAGCCCGTCGTTCACTGCCGACCGCCTCTGGCTTAATGGCAAGGTGCGATCCCGTGCAGGTCGTACCTGATAATGGCAAGGTGCGTTCCGGTGCAGGTCGTACCTGATAATGGCAAGGTACGTTCCGGTGCAGGTCGTACCTGATAATGACGAGGTGCAGGTCGTACCTAGTAGTATGATGCTGTAGCACACCTGATAACGCAACTGACAACGAGGCTGGTGTGTTGACCACATGGAGCGAAGTGAACGCTGCACCCGACACCCCATCTGAACGTTGCAGCACGCACACCTGGCAACACCATGCAACAACACGCATTCCAGTGCAATGTGCATTGCATTGCATTGCCAGTACTTTTGGCTTCCTGCATTCGAACCAAAACAAGGTGACGACTGTTGAGTGACTCGAAACTCAGCAGTTCCCCACTCACCCCCCACTTCCCACTCCCCACGGCATCAGGAGGTGGCGATGAGCAGCCACCGCTACGGCAACAGCCTTATGCGTCAACTGAACAATCCCCCACTGCCCCCCTCCCCTCTCCACTTCAACCCCTCCCCACTCCCCACGGCATCAGGAGGTGGCGATGAGCAGCCACCGCTACGGCAACTGCCTTATGCGTCAACTGAACAATCCCCCACTGCCCCCCCCCCCTCTCCACTTCAACCCCTCCCCACTCCCCACGGCATCAGGAGGTGGCGATGAGCAGCCACCGCTACGGCAACTGCCTTATGCGTCAACTGAACAATCCCCCACTGCCCCCCTCCCCTCTCCACTTCAACCCCTCCCCACTCCCCACGGCATCAGGAGGTGGCGATGAGCAGCCACCGCTACGGCAACTGCTTTATGCGTCAACTGAACAATCCCCCACTGCCCCCCTCCCCTCTCCACTTCAACCCCTCCCCACTCCCCACGGCATCAGGAGGTGGCGATGAGCAGCCACCGCTACGGCAACTGCCTTATGCGTCAACTGAACAATCCCCCACTGCCCCCCTCCCCTCTCCACTTCAACCCCTCCCCACTCCCCACGGCATCAGGAGGTGGCGATGAGCAGCCACCGCTACGGCAACTGCCTTATGCGTCAACTGAACAATCCCCCACTGCCCCCCTCCCCTCTCCACTTCAACCCCTCCCCACTCCCCACGGCATCAGGAGGTGGCGATGAGCAGCCACCGCTACGGCAACTGCCTTATGCGTCAACTGAACAATCCCCCACTGCCCCCCTCCCCTCTCCACTTCAACCCCTCCCCACTCCCCACGGCATCAGGAGGTGGCGATGAGCAGCCACCGCTACGGCAACTGCTTGGCCGCCCTGCGTGCACGCGCCTCCACCACGCACTGGCGCCTGCCCGCTCCACACTCCGCCCAGCAGAGCGAGCAGGGAAGGGGCGAGCAGCGGGAGGTGGAGATAGGCGCGGGGCAGTGGCAGCAGCTGAGAGTGCATGTGGTGTCGGCTAACAACTTCCCCACCGCTGCTGGCCTCGCCTCCTCCGCTGCTGGCTTTGCTTGCCTCGGTGAGTGATCTCCTAGCTTCCTTGTGCTGCTGCTGCCGACGACGCGAGTGCTGTTGCAGGGTGGGATGGGGTTGAATTAATGTTTGGTTGGGGTTCGGGTTGGTTTTGGGGGGTGGGGATTGAGGAGTTGGTTGCGAGTGCATGTGGTGTCGGCTAACAACTTCCCCACCGCTGCTGGCCTCGCCTCCTCTGCTGCTGGCATCGCCTGTCTCTGTGAGTCTCTTGTTTCTTCCTCCTCCTTCCCTCCCTTCCTTCTACTGCTGCTGCCGCCGTTGACGCCAATGCTGCTGCTGGGTGGAAAAATGTGATGGAGTATGGTTTGGGGGTTGGGGGTTGAAGTTTGGAGTTTGGGGTCGTAAGGGGATTGGAGCTCCACTTATCAGTGGCGGAAGACATGACGTGGTTGCTTGCATTTTCTATTGATAAATAAAATTTTGAATGTTGAAACTTACAGGGTTAATAAACTGTTTAAGGTTTGGGGTTTTGGAATGGGGGTTTGGGGGATGGGGGTTTGGGATCACGGGATTGGAATGCTGGGATTGGATTGGAAAGTTGGCGTTTGAACTTTGAAGAAGAGTGGGTTTTGAGATGTGGGGAGAGATTTGAGAGTGAAGTGGAGATTTGGGGAGAGAGATTTGGGGAGAGGAGATTCGGCGTGCATGCATGCATGCTGTGTCCTGTCCTTTGGATGCGCCCCACCCCACTTGCGAAAGCATTGCTCCGTGGTCAGCCCTTTCTTGCCATGCCATGCTGCCCTCAAATGCTCCGCCCTTACATCCCTTGTGCCTGCCTGCCCCATGCCCATGCCCCGTGCCCATGCCCTGTGCGGCTGTGCCCCATGTGCCATCCTGCATGCTTGTGTGTGTGTGCGCATGCGTGCATCACAGTGTTCGCCCTGGCAGAGATCATGGGAGTGAAGGAGGCATACCCGGGGGAGCTATCTGCCATTGCCAGGTACGGCAGGAGAGTTGCCAGGTACGGCAGGAGAGTTTCCAGGTACGGCAGGAGAGTTTCCAGGTACGGCAGGAGAGTTTCCAGGTACGGCAGGAGAGTTTCCAGGTACGGCAGGAGCATTGTCAGGTACGGCAGGACCATGGCAGATACGGCAGGAGCATTGACGGGCTGACAGGAAATGCATTGGCACTCAATTTACCATAGGCCTCGTTAGAGTGCCACTTGGTGGAAAGGAGGCCTCGTTACAGCAAATGCTGCTCTGTGTGTTTTAAACACCTTGTAAACAAATCTTCTCATGGCCGATCGCAGGGCACGTGTGCCTAAACTCAGTTTCTCATGCATTGCACACATTGTGTGATTGGCTCATACCTTATGTAAACGCCATTGCTCCCAACCGAACTTCCCATTCCTCCCGTCCCCCTCCCGGTCCGCCCTCCTCCGAATGGCACCAGGATGGGATCTGGCAGTGCCTGCAGGAGCCTGTACGGCGGATTCGTCAGCTGGGACAAGGGCGAGGTGAGATGATCATGGGAGATGGGATGATGAGGGCGAGGTCAGGTGAAACTGTCTCTGGGTGTGATGATGAAGGCGTGCCGGGTTTGCTTGACCTCACCACACCACGTACTCCGCCTCCTTCCTCTGCTCCCCCTAATCTTTCTTATTCCATCCCCTGCCTCCCTCTCCCTCGTTTCCTCCTTCGTTCCACAAGTATCGCCGCCTGCAGCCATGGTCGCTCGCTCCCAAGCCAGAGTTGACTCATAGTGGTGCAATAGTTCAGAATATCTGGCACTGTGTGGAATACTTTAGAGGAGCTGGCACTGTGCTCAGTCATTCAAATACCTGTCTCGATTTTGAGAGTTCTCGAAAGTGCAAACGTGTAGAATACCTGGCGATTAGCATCTCTTTCAATTCCATCGTGCCTCATGCCTCATACCTCATGCCGTGTGCGTCGTGTGTGTGCGTCTCCTCTCCTCTCCCACCGCCAGCTAGAAGACGGCAGCGACAGCATGGCGCGGCAAGTCAAGGCAGAGGACCACTGGAGCGATCTCGTCATTATCATTGCAGTGGTGAGCGGGAAGGGCACACACTTTGGTGGGGGAAGGGGAGGGCATGCCAGTGTTCTTTGAGTTGACTCAAAAAGCGTAGTGAGCTGACTCAAAATCCTTTGACTCGACTTGAAACACGTCGAGAAATCTGTTCGTCATTACAATCATGCGAAAGAGAGAGTGCGCAGGTGGTGCTGTGCTGCTGTGCTCTCGGGCCCAGCAGTTGCCCTCTCCTTTTCAATTTCTTCGCAGGTGGATGTACCCCACAGATAGATTGTCATCTCTTGCCTTTGTCTATTCTTTTCGCTGTGTGCTTCTAAGTCGACCCAAAGCACACTCTGCTCGCTCAGCTGTTGCTCCCACCCTGCCAACTTGCCACAATCCACAGGGTGTCATCTCTAGTTTTGCGGCGCCTCAGAACTTGCCACACTCCCCAGAGTATCATCTCTTGGCCGTGCCCTTTTGTCCCGCCTGCAGCTCCTGCCTTCCATTAACTTCTCAGCCTTCTCTTGTTTCTCCCCTTCCCCCTTCTCGGTTCCCCCGTCCCCCTTCTCCGTTTCCCCTTCCACTTCCCGATCCATCCCCACATGGGCAGGTGGAGGAGAGGGAGAAGGACATTGGCAGCAGCGAGGGCATGAAACTTGTGAGCCGTCTCAATAACCCTCCTTCCTCCCCCCAATCCCCTCCCCCGCATGTCCCCCCATGCACAGGTGGAGGAGAGGGAGAAGGACATTGGCAGCAGCGACGGCATGAAACGGTCCGCTCTGACCTCCAAGCTGCTGCAGCTGCGCGCTGAGGTGAGGGAGAACAGTTAAGAGCACGGGTGGGAGCAGTTCACGAGCAAAGGGTGGGGGCAAATGAAGAGCTTGGGTGGGATGGGGAGGGGAGGGCATGAAACGGTCCGCGCAGACCTCCAAGCTGCTGCACCTGCGGGCTGAGGTGAGGGCTAATGAGAAGCATACTCACACAGGTGGGCTCAGCTGAAGAGCACGGTTGGGGTCGGGGGGGAATGAAGCACATTGTGGGAAAATTGGGGAGGGGAAAGGGAGCTCAGAGGAGGACGATGAGGGCTCTTCAGTCATGCGCATCAAGAGCGCAGGTGATTGTTCTGTGTGTGCAGTGCGGTGCACACACACTCAAGTGGCGTCTCTCATGTGCTGCCTCCGCAATGCCTCTGCCACTACATTTGTGCCGCAACTCTTCCTGTCCCTCTCCTTCCACTTGCGCTCACTTTCCTGCTTGACGTGCGTCCCAGCCCCTTCTTCCCCCCCTCTCCGCTCCCCCCCACAGCACGTGGTACCGGAGCGCATCACTGCAATGGAGGCAGCCATTGCAGCCCAGGACTTGCCCTCTCTTGCCCGCCTGACTTGTGCCGACAGCAACCAGTTCCATGCCACATCATGCCCTTCTTGCCCTACTCGCCCTTCTTGCCCTCCTTTGCCCCCTATTACCCTCCCCAGCACGTGGTACCAGAGCGAATCACAGCAATGGAGGCAGCCATAGGTGCCCGGGACTTCCCTGCGTTTGCCCGCCTGACCTGTGCGGACAGCAACCAGTTTCACGCCACGTGCCTCGACACGGCGCCGCCCATCTTCTACCTCAACGCCACGTCGCGCCGCGTGATTGGCTTCGTGGAGGAGTTCAATGCACAGGGAGAGCAACCGCGGGTAGGTTCTTGGTGGTGTAGAGGGGTGCAGGAGGGTGGAAGGGGGGTGGAGGGGTAAGGGTGAATGAGGTGACTGCATACATGCGTGCACTTGCCAGCTTCTATCTCAACGCCACGTCGCGCCGCGTGATTGGCTTTGTGGAGGAGCTCAACGAGCAGGGGGAGCAACCGAGGGTGCGTACAAAGGGGTGCAGGGGGATGGTTGCAGGGGGTTGCAGAGTGAATGTAGTGAAGGGAAAAGGGAGGGTGCAGGGGAGTGCAGGGCGGTAGAGGTTAGGTGCAGGGGATGAATCGTGTGGAGATAACAAGCAGAGTGAAGGGCCAGGGTTTAGGGGCCAAGTGCTGCGTGCATTTTTTCACACTGTGACTCTGACTGCTCCTCCCAGAAGCCCAGATCTCTCAATCTGCCTCTCGATCCATCACACCAGGCAGCATAGCTGATCCTGGCACCAGATCAGTGCCTGCACATTCATGTCTGTGAAGCACGCGCCTCACCATGCCTCGTCTGTGCTCCTCCTCGCCCCTCTCCCCACGCCAGGCGGCATACACATTTGACGCGGGTCCCAATGCGGTCATGTTTGTCCAGCGCCACAACGCCACGCCCTTCCCCTCCCTCTCCCTCCCCTTACCACCCCCCCGTCTTCCCCCTTCTTCCCAACGCCAGGCAGCGTACACCTTTGACGCAGGTCCCAATGCAGTCATGTTTGTGGAGCGCCGCAACGCCACGCAATTCCTCTCTGCCTTCCTGCAGCGCTTTCCCCCACCAGCCAGCGCCCCCCTCTCTAGGTATTCCTCCCCCCCACCCCATCCCCGCCTCTATAATTTCTACGCAAGCACCACTTCGCTCCGTGCGCCACCGCTCCCCACTCCAGCTTCCTATCCCCCACCTGGCACCACCACCCACTACAACTATCCCCACTTCACCTGATCGTGTTTCATCCTCATTTATGCATGTATGCTGTCAGTTTAATTCATCCCAGGAACCATGTCCCATCCATCTCACACCCCTCGTCCCGCCCATCCACCTCACACCCCTCCCCGTCCCACCAACCCTTCTCCCTCACCACCCCAACCACGCCCCTCACTCACTCTCTCTGTGTGCAGCTTCCTCGCCGGCGACACGTTTCTCGTCTCCATGGAGGCTCTTCCCCACACACAACCACCACCAGAACCACCGCAATCATCACCCCACCCATCTCACCCCCTTGTGCCACCCCAACTTCACCCCTCATTGACTCTCTTCCTGTGTGCAGCTTCCTCACAGGTGATACCTCTCTCGTCTCCATGGAGGCCCTTCCCCACGCACAACTACCACCACCACCAACACAACCATCACCGTCACCATCTGACTCAAGCACAGCATCAGACGGATCCTCCCCGCCCCTCAAGTACATTCTGCTCACCCGCCCGGGCCCCGGACCCCACATTGTGTCGCGCTCACTGGAAGGCTCTCAGGTCAACCCCACCACTGGGTTCCCAGTTTAGGTGAAGGAAACGAAGGGTGTTGATCTTAGGGTACATTCCTGGTGAGAGGCATCACAAAAGTGCGCCGCTCTGCACTGCAACGTACGGTAGTACGTATAGAGATTTAATTTGTGCACCTCCTGCACTGTATCTCGTTCTACACCCCCCCCCCCCCCCCCCCCCCCTCCTTTTTTTTTTTTTTTTTCTCTCTTTTTTTTTTCCTTTCTGGTGGCACGCGCCAGGAATGTACCCTTAGTAGTGGTCAATGTTGTGGAATGGGGAGTAGATATTTTAAAAGGTTTCTGATCCATAATGAAAGTTAGTCGTCACACAAAAAATGTCATCTACACTACGCCTACGTTAGTACAGAAAACCAGACCAGCCAGTCCCATGTACAGAAACGAAATCCGAAAAAAAAAATCAAGCACCGTAGCACGTCCACAGGTGTGTCCTAAGTCAACAGGCTGGGAGCACAGGACAGGCATATTACACAACAAGCAGCAGCACAGGCAACAAGCAGAAGTGGTGGAGTGACACTTGGGGGGGGCCCCCGTCATCTGCGTGCGACGATTCGCGCAAACTTCAGTTGAGGAGAGGACGGAGGTGGCGCAGCGTGGTTGACGGCCACCCTGAGCCCACCGAAAGCAACACGCTCCTGCGCTTCGGGCCATCCCCTGACCTATGAGTTCAAATCAAACATGAATTCTAAAAATTGGAACATGAATTCCAAACTGAAATACTGGGTATACTGTAAAGAATGCGTTCTTTTGTAGTGACGGGTGACGAGCAGGAGAAAAGACACGAAAATATTTCGTCGAGATTGGCGAAATCGAAACGCCACCAGAACCTGCGGCAGTGACTCCGCCTCAGGTGGAGCGGAGATGCCGCCCAAGTTGAGGACCTCCTAGATTGCTACTCTGGGGCAGTCTATGACAGAAAACATAAATTTCCATCCGACTAGTGTCGAACAGGCCTGTCGAAGTTTCTGGGGCTCGTACTTGCGCTCCCCAGCTCCTCCGCATCTGACCCTTGGTTGGGTGTAGGTGTGCGTTTTGGCGCCCTTAAAGCCGCGGTGCAACTAGTTCCTAAGCTGCTTTTGATTGGGTCGCGATATGTTTTTGAGCAAACCTGTTAACGAAAAAAACGAAAAAAACGGGGGGAATTTCGCACAGATGCGGGGTGTATACTGGGGGGGACCGGGCAACGGGAAACAGCGCACCAGACTGTAAACAAACCTCTGCGCCAGAATTCCGCGATTCCCCCACACAGAAACCTCACTCACAAGACCTAACGGCTTGCTTTTACGTAACTCTAGCGTAGCTAACCTATTCTCTGCCTACATCTACTAATACCGTCGCGTAGGTTACTTAGATCAAACAGCACCTAATACCACGCCTAAATATACGGTAGACACCTTACCTCACACCAAGTTAGAACATACAAGACCACCTATAAAGGAGAGATTAGGTTGGACAGAATGCCGTTTCCGCTAAAAGAGAGACTCTCTTGACTTCACGTTGCCACAACAATGACGTTGTCGCGGTTGTTTCGAGAAAATCATGCAAGACAGTCTTCATCGCTTGGGGAATGGGAAAAGGAGGTGGTGGAAATCATAAACAAGAAGGACAGCACTAACCTAGCAGTTTCATCCAACATGCAACTTCCTATAGCTTATTTGCGCTGTGGATTGACCACACTGCTCAGCAATGCGCGCACAGCAACATTGGCAGACCTTGTGTTTTATCTACTAGAAGGAGGCCCATGCGCAAAAGAAGCCCTTCTTGATGCAGCACGCAAAGCAGGTGACGAGCCATTGCGTGAACGCATTCATTACCATGCGGCTTGGGATTAGTGCTCCACTAATGCCCACCCTCCGCCATCCTTGCAGGAACCGATGGAAGTACGGCTGAGGGAACAATGAAGGTACATTTGACAGTTTTCAAACGAGAGTTTGAGACAAAGGCCATGGGGGAAACATCAACAATTGCTGCACGAGAACCAAAAGGGATTGAAGGCTTGACATACAACTTCCCGGCGTCGAGAATAGATGAGAACGGGAAGGTGGCGACGGCAACCAAAGTCTTCGGATGGGATGGCGCGCGAAGGGGGAAAGCGTACGCCGACATGAAAAACAGGAGTACGTAACACAAGGGCTGGTCAGGGAAGGGGGGAGTGGGGGTAGAGGTCATGTCATGGGTTGGCATAGGTCTACTAGTTTTATGATGCACTCATGCTTCACTACATGCAATGTATGGTGCGTCCCAAAGACATGCATAGGCCATCATGCATGTAGTCATGGCACAACGCCTCATCGAATACTCGCTAGTCGCCTATGCCATGGTGCATAAGTGCACTCCCGCATTGACAATCCTCCCCAGTTCCCCATTGTCTCTTCACATGTCCCCTTCTCGCAGGCAGAGACATAGTGAGCCACACTATGTCAAGCGAGACCCATGATGGGGACGATGGACCACATGTGGTGATAGGGAGCAGAGAAGGAGATGCTGCAGCATGCGGTACCGAGCCGACATGTCTTCATGCATGCCCTGATCTCAATAGGGAACCGACGGATGAAACACGGTACGTAGAAATGATGCTTGCTACATTCTAGTTATAAGCCTTCAATGTTGGAAGATGGATGTTCATACCTAGCTTGGTAGGCACATACACCAACCATTGCGTTTTGCTCCCGCCCCCAGGACAAGCGACCCAGCGCAAAGGGAGCGCGAATGGAAAGGTGAAGCGGGCTGGCCTGAATCACCATCACCGACCGATCTAAAAAATGTGACTGGGTTGCTGGACCCGGGCCACGTCTTGCGATGGTTGTTGCCAATGACAATGACATGTACAAGGGGTGGCAGTTGTGCGGGCAAAATGTGGCTGAGGTCTTGGAAAATGCACTGGGCGGGATTGGGGATGCTCTGGGTGTGCGACGCGTGCGACAAATCACAGCCATACTGGACTATAAGCCAGGACACGGGGGGTAGCACGGTCGCTAAACCTGGCAGGAAGCGGTGGCCCCTTGTGCAGCGTTTTATGGCGTCTTTCGCACTCGCGGGGGGAGGGTACCAAATGATATCAGAGGTCGGTCGAAATCTGGGCATGTCGCACCCGTGCAAGTCAACATACTACAACTACATGAAAGGACCAGGTGGGTTATGGGAAACCATACTCACTCAGTCGAATAAGTGCATGGAACATGTACGCACCGGGATGGATAGGGATGCGTTGAGTTTGGGGGATAGTGAAGGGCACTTTGTGTGTGCGGACGGAAGATGGGGTCAACCAAGGGAGGTGGAATGGTGCACTGTTACCTTTCTAGATCCACGCTATAGAAAGGTGCTTCACTGTGTAACGGTGTCTATAACGGAAGAAGGGCAGGCGTCCCCTTCTCTAGAGGGTGTGGCCTTTAGACGGGGGCTCGACGACCTAGACCGATGGGGGTTTAAGGTGAAGGGGGTTATCACGGATGAAGGGGGTGCTTTTAGGACTGAAACTGCGAAGAGGGGAATTCAACATCAAGGGGATGTTTGGCATAAAGGGAGAACGCTAGCAAAAAAGCTAGGAAAGGATATGGTAGATGCACGCATAGACGAGGTGAAGGTCCCAGACGCCAAGACAATAGAGGCGCTCTGGAACGTAAGCATTGCACACTTGCGGGAATGGCTTTCCATCGCACGGAAAAAGAAAGGAAAGGAAGTCCCAAAGAGAGCAACAAAGAAAGAGCTTATTCAGGATGTGTGTAAAGAGCGAGGGATAGTATACAAAGACTGTAGTGCGACAACTTCACGATACAGATATGCGTAAGGTGATACGCGTGCGTGTGGCTGGTGGAAATGATGGTGATATGGCGGGAGGGCGAAGCGGGGGTAACGATGATGAAACCAGGGGGGCAACGGTGGGGGGGGTGGAGGCCTGCACGAATGGGGGAGATGTGTCTAGGATTCCTCAGACAGAAGCCTCAAATATTTGTGCGAACACTTCAACTGCTGTACCTGTGGGCTTTGTGAGTCTTGGTCTGTTAGACCTAAATGTGGCTCCAGATGTCCAACACGATACTCAACACATGCACGTGGAGTATAGGGACGTTGAAGAGCTTTGGGGGTACGACCCCCATCCAGAGAGGGGAGTCCGTCCGTGTTCAGCAGCTTCATTTACGATTCTACAGGCATCGGCACGTTGCATCGAAAGGGGGAGACCAGCCGCCGCGGATGACGATCCTGATTCGAACACCGAATATATGGATACGGGTATGTGTAAACAAAGGTTTGTAATCTGATCATGTACTTCCACTTCCTTATGCCGATTGTAGCCAGCTAAGATAACTCTGCACCATGACATACTGCGATTAAATGGCTCAAATGCCTATGTCATAAAGCCTCTGTGCATCTTGCTATATTGCATGCTGGCCTAAGCAGTGTCCAATTTGCACCATGGCATTTGCCACTCGAACGCTTGATGGCCATGCAATAATGCCTCACATCATGTGCCGCCTCAACATGGCCTGGCTTAGGCCTGCTGGCATGTGCCATGGCATCTCTTCACCATAGCATAGGCCATCATGCATGCTTGCCGGCCTACGCCAATGCCACATGTGCACACTGCACTACGACATGTACCGCAACAAGACATGCTAGCCTATGCCATCTTGCCGGCTTTTTGTGCCATGGCATCTTTGCGCGCATCAATGCATGTTGGCCTATGCCATTTTGTCTATGACTATAAGTTGTTTTCTCATTTACAACGCATTGTTCTTTCCATCCCACCCCATTATCAGGGACGGCAATGGCTGAAATTGAGAATAGCATGACGCAAATGACTGCAACTGAACACACAGGTGAAATCCCCCCCCAAGCAGCCACACGGAAGCCAAGGTGGGTGAACCGAGTTTCGCGTAAGCGGAAAGCATCGGCCGTTGATGATGATGAGGGTGGCCAGGACGATGAAGTTGATGCACCGGCCCGTGAGGTGACGGTACCGCAAAGATTTTGCGTCCATTTTCACCATGTAATGGCTAGGTGTGCTGCAAAAGCGCGGGATGGCCACCCTATGAGAGCAGAGGACGTTGCCGAGGAGATTGGATTAGCGGCGGAACACTGGGCAGGGGATCACACGCGATGCATGCGGATGGGAGTTGTCCCTAGGTGTGTTTCTGATGGATGGGGGTCGGAAAGCGCGATATACGAGCGTGGTTCAAAAACTCACCTGGCTTTCAAAGAGTGGCTGGCTGCAAATTGTGGTCCAGAGCAGATGAAGCCGTACGTGCTAGGGGCTAGCAACTGGATGAACGAATCGTTCCACTCTTTGATTTGCAAGTACGCTCCAAAAAGGATTCGTTTTCATGGAAGCATGAGGCCACGCATTGGGTTGACAGTTCTACACTGGAACAACTCGCAAGATCGGGAGGTGATAGCCACCAAAGTTCGTCTTAGGCGTGCTACACGCATCCGGCGTGGGAAAAAGGATCGCATCCTTGGGCCTATGAAGTGGGACTGGGTGGATGATATAATGAAGGAATGGAATTGCTTGGATGGTGATGACACGGAGGATGCCCATGAGGATGCTCCCGCAGCGGCGCATCCGACTGTAGCTCCGGCCACACCACAATCGAAGCCATCTCGACGCGTCGCTCATACATCTAGCCCATGCACTCCTTCTAAACGCCCAAGAACAAGCCGACGTCCGCGGAGACTCATCCTAGGTGGGTTGTGATATGTTTTATTGATTCTCGCCTGGAGTTTCCATTATGCATCGCGCCATATACCATTACAACGCACGATACCATTACTATGCGTCATCTACCTTTCCCACCATGCGTAACCTGCAGGTGACTCTACAAACACCGACGTGGGGCCTCGAGGGGCTGTGATCTAGGTATGTGACTAATTCTATGTGGGGGTTTTGATATTCTCGAATGCATGCACATTTTCCACACCTCTCCTATGTATGAGTGTCTTGTATGCATGTACTTGTGTGTGTGAGTGTGTACCTGGGTGTGTGTAAGAGTGTGTGTTTGTATATGTGCGTGTTTGTGTTGTGTGTATGTATATATGTGTGTGTGTGTGTGTTTGTGTGTGTGCGTATATGATTGTATTTGCATGAGTACATGAGTGTATATATGAGAAAGAGTGAAAGGAAGATACAGAGAGAGAGGGGGAGATAGAGAGAGGGAGTGAAGGACAGAGAGAGAGAGAGAGAGAGAGAGAGAGAGAGAGAGAGAGGGAGATGACTAGAAGGGAGCAGAGGTGTGTGAGTGTGTGCAAACTTGACTTATTCATCCCAACTCTCTCCCACATACCCTTCCAACACACCCTCGGCCAACCATTTTTTAAGGAGGGATATCGTGTGGTGTTTACTGGCTCTCATGCAAATGGAAGAGCATGGAGAAGGGTGGAGAAAGTGGAAACAATGGAGATCCATCGGGACGACACATGGAGAGGATGGGGTGAAGATGCCAAACAATGGAAGAGCCTTGTTTCATGCCTCCCCCTGTCGTTGCATCGCGCCTCCCCCCGCGGATGCATCTCGCCTTGTTTCGTAGCCTCTCGGCCAGCACCTTGCCGCTGCTCCCATTTCATTCTCCCTGCCTCTCTCTCTCTCTGAGGGAGTTTGAGGGGGAAGGGGGGAGGGGAGCAGGGCGAAAGGGTGCACAGCACCGTGGTTTATGAGAGGGGTGTTGGGAACAGTGCTGCTAGATACCGTCGCCTTGCTGCTCGCTACCGTCGTCCCGCTGCTCGATTCCATCGTCTCGATGCGTGCTACCGTCGTCCCGATGCTCTGTTCCGTCGCAATGGTGCTCGCTACAGTCGCACAGCTGCTCGGTTCGTCGCCCGGCATGTCGCCATCGTCGCCCCGCTGCTCGCGGTCGTCGTTTCGCGAAAATCGTATCGTCGCTCCGCTGCTCGCCACCGACGCACCCATTCCTGCCTGTCGCTACCGCTCTTCCAGCCCTAAACCGCAGATACATGAGGAATGGAGGAACGGGAGAGGAATAAGGACGTAGGCGGAGGAATCCGAGGACATTGCGATCCGCGTATACCCGAAAGGCGACTACGAGGTACAAAAATGCGCAGATATTCGTGCGCCCATTCTGAAACTATGGAGCGCGAGAAATCGTCGCCTGCGGGCTCTGCGTAGCTGGGAGAACTTACTTCAAGTTAGTCAGACGCTAGTTCAAGCGTGGGAGTTTGCAGAGTTCGAGTTGTTTTGAGTTCAAGTTTGATTTTTCAAGTTTGCCAGCTGCGCTCTTCCCTATATCGTTGTGCGGAGGTTTTCCCAGAGCCCTCCCCCGCTTTCCCCCCACACATCATACTGCGAAGCACTTTTCCGCACACCCGTCCCCCGCAGGCAGAAACCTCTGCCTCATCACTTTCCTGTGTATACTGGGTTACGCGGCTTTCAAACTATAATACTTTGAACTGGAGCCCCGATATCTGCACCGCGGCTTTAACGGTCAGGGGCGTACCCCAAAGTGAAAACTTGAAATCCGGGCATGTTTGAAGTTTGCACTTACACTGTATTTTACTATGGTACGTGCAGTTTTCAACTTATATTAGAAGTTACTCATACCTAATACTACACATGTCTTCAATAGTCATAAAACCTAAGGGAATGTTCGGGTGCTCCAAGGCTGACTGAGACACACTACACACGAGATTGGCTAGAAAACGCTAAGGGAAAAATCCCCTTGGCGCGCTCTAGTGCAGGCTACGGAGAAAGGGGGAGGGGGGGGGGGGCTCGGGCACCCTCAGGAGGGGGGTCCCTACGCGGAAACCAAAACTTAGATAAAGGGGAAGTCCTGGTTTCGTCCCTTAACGCATCCGGGGAAGGGTCGAACGAAGCACTTAGTGGCACGGGTGGGGTACGAATCCAGAACTTGCCGCATTGGAGCGAAACTAGCCCTTAATGTTCAGGGCATTAAGGGCATATGCCCTTGAATCGACAGGCCTGGTGTCGAACTGGTGTTCAATTTGTGTCGTGGAGTTGCACTGGGATCTCACCAGAACAGAGCTCAAAATGTAAATTTGTCTGATTCACCAGCTCTAACCTCCCCTCGTGCGAATTGCAGAAAGGAACCACGCCACGCCACCGTCGTGCATCCATTCTCCTTCCTCCTCGTTCCCGCCCGGTCCCTCCCTTTCCCCACGTGGTCCAGCTAAATAGACCTAAACTGAATCCTTTCCCTCTTCAGTAGGCAAGTCTTCGTTTTTCTTCCCTATCACACAAGAAAGTGAGTGACCTTCAGCACCACTCTCGTCAGTGCTGGTTGGTTTGGTTGGCTGCGGCCTTCCTTGATACCTCATCCTTCCTCGCCCCAATTCATCGTCAGTCGCCCCTCATACAGTATCGACGCTTTGGAGTCCTTCGCCAGAATCAGAGTGCTCGAAACGGAAACCGACTGTCGTTAGTGCTCCGTCATATCCACCAGCCTGGTGTAACAAAGGAGGCTCTCCAACTCGCGACTCTCGTATCGTCGTTTCCTTGGATTGTGTGGACCGCAAGCCGTCGCGCATCGTGACGACACAACAGCCACCATGTTACATCCAAACCAACGTAGCGGCTTACACAGCGCCTCGAGTGGAGTTCGCGCTTCGTCGCAATGGCGGCGGAGGGACGTCGCAGCAGCGGCGACCTTCGCGTCGCCGGAATCTACGGCTCGCTCTGCTTCTACCTCTGGCTCTCCTGTGCATATCCGCGTTGCACGGCGCATCAGCCGGGAGGAGAACGAAGAACAATCCTCCGCCGCTGCCCCCACCCCCGCCACCCCCACCGCCTCCCCCGCCACCTGGTTAGTGGATTTACTCGTCAGCACCACTTGACCGTTGGAAGAGGGTGGGATGAGAACTGCGAATGCGCAGAGCCGAGCTCCAAACAACGCGGCGCGCATGTGCCGGAGACTGCGCATATCGCGCCTCAAAGCGCGGCTCCTCAATCTCGCCGCTCCGGCCCATAACTCTTGAAGGGCTCGTTTCACCACAAGTCATGGGGCCGACTGAGAGATTTAGAGCCGTTTAGAAGGTCCCAGGGTTTGCCGGGTGTCCGTTAGGTTTGACCTTGACCGCTATTAGTAGCGTGTAGGAACTTCGACGTTCTCCACCGTTCTCCACCGTCGACGTCAACCTCTCTTTCGTTGGCGTCAGCAGTCACTGGCCGTCTCCTCACCACCTCTACCTCCCAAGTATCTCTCCCTCGCGCCCCGCGTGTCCCTTTCGAGTCAAAGTTTCCATTCCCTCCCCCTCCCTTCCCCCAATCTCCCATCTCCCCCCTCTTCCCCCTCCCTCCCTTTCCCCCCCAACCCCCCTCCCGCGCCGCAGACTGCTCGTTCGCGGAATCCCTTTCCGACTTCGCGCTCTCTGGGGATGCGCTCAGTGCGACGTACAAAGCTTGCCCCGCCGTCACCCTCACCTCCGACGCCGCGTTGCTGGCGGGCGGCGCGCTCAACCCCTCCGCCATCGTCCTCACCGACCGTGCCTCCTCCGCCGGCGGCGGTTGCGCGCCGCTGGCGTTCTCCGCGTCGTTCGCGTTCGCGGTAGCGTCCGCGAAGAACGGCGTGGCGAAGGCGGGGCAAGGGGTGACTTTCTTCGTGACGGCGAACGCGGCGTGGGAGGCTGGCAGCGACAGCGGGTTCCTCGGGTGGGGCGAGACGGGCGACTCGCCGAGCTTCGCGGTGGAGTTCGACACGTTTAAGTAAGTGCCGCGCTTAGCGGGAAGCAATTTCGACGTGACTTTCTTCAAGTGAGGTGCATGCTTGTTTCAGTGGGATTATTATGTTTTCCCCTTGCATAAACTCTCGCTACTTTCACATTTTTCTATATCAGAGACCCATGGGACAAGGTCACCCCACACATCGGGTTCAACCTCAACGCGTCCGTCCAATCAGTGGCCGCCAGCAAGGCAGCCATTACCGCGCTCAAAGACGCGAAAATCAAATACGTCTGGATCGACTACACCCCAATGACGAAACAACTCTCCGTCTTCCTCAACACCGCCAAGAGCCGACCCGCTAAGAACACCTTCGTTACAAGCTTCGACCCTTGCGCACTTTTTAAAGCTTCGCAAAACGACCCCAACAGTGACACGCCGTTGTACATGGGGTTCAGCGCGAGCACGGGCGCAAAGTACTTCTCCGCGCACACGCTCCTTGGCTTCGACGTCACCGCCTCCGCCGCCCCTGCGCAGACCGGGGGCGGAGAGGGCGGAGCGGGCGGAGGGGGCGGAGCGGGCGGCGAGGGCGGTGGCAGTAGTGGCGGCGGGAATGTTACTGAGGGGGGAGGAGGTGGCGTTAGTGGCGGTGGGAATGTTACCGGCGGTGGCGGCGGTGGCGCTAGTGGCGGCGGGAATGTTACTGGAGGGGGAGGAGGGGGAGCGGGAGGGCCATCGGGCGATCCGACTGACCCGCCAAACTACTTCCCCAGTGAGTACCGACCCCGCGTGAGGTGCTTACCCATTTCGCGGCTCGCTACCGTGTGCCGTCTCGCTTCCCTCCTGAATTCCCCTTGCCCATTCTTCCCCTTGCCCATTCTTCCCCTTGCCCTTACCGTCGCCCTTACCGTCGCCCTTACCGTCGCCCTTACCGTCGCCCTTCCCACTCCTCCCCACGTCAGCTCGCTCCGGCGATTGTTCCCCCTCCGCTGAAAGGCCTGCCTCATCCCCCGCAACGACCTGCCTCCGCTGCTCCATAAGTGCAACCCCTTTCCCCCTCCCCCGCGCCCACGCCTCCACTCCCCCCCACCTCAGCGCGCATCGGCGATCGCTATCTGGGAAGGCTGCCCGTCCCGCGCAACGAGTCGCGGCCCATGCTGAACAAATGGTTCCACTACGCGTCCGTGTCGCTGCCGAAGCTGAACGCCTGGTGTCGGATCCTTCGCACTACGTGCAGCAGACATTTAAATGTGTACCCCCCACTCCCCCCCACCCCACCTCAGCGCGCATCGGCGACCGCTCCCTGGGAGGCCTGCCAATCCCGCGCAACGAGTCGCGGCCCATGCTGAACAAGTGGTTCCACTACGCGTCCGTGTCGCTGAAAATCCAGCGCAGCAACAACACGGCCAACTGGGCGCTCAAGGAGCACAGCAACGTCGACTGGCGCGCCAACCTCTCGGCTGTCGTCGACCAGGACTCGCCCAGCCTCTGCAGTGAGTAGCTGCGTTTCTGTGTGCTCAATGTGACTTTCGAATCTGCTCAATCTAAAGATATCTTTCCGTCCCTCGCCACCATTTCCCCCTCTCCAACACCACTTCCCCCTCCTGTCCCCGCCTAATGTCCCTTCGAACCTCTTCTGCTCTGCCCATCCCGCCCCTTCCCTCCTCTCTCCCGCCTCAGGTTCCTGCTGGGCGTTCGCAGCAGCATCAGCGATCGACGGCGCGCTACTTGGTTACCACATCAACCCGCCGCAGCGCGTGTCGGTGCAGCAGATGCTGACGTGCGGAGTAGACGACTGCGACGGCGGGTTCACAACGGACGCGTTTGAATATGCAATCGCGAATCCGCTTGTGTCCGCCGCGGCTTATCCGTACATGGCGAATGACAGCACCACGTGTAACAAGAGCGTTGTAAGTGAACGACGGAAGCAATTGCGACACGTCACACGCACCTCCTCTTTTCATTTCCCCTTTCACGCGAACCCGCTCGTGTCCGCCGCGGTGTATCCGTACATGGCGAATAACAACACCGTGTGTAGAAAGTGAACGACACGCGGAAGCAATTGCGACACGCACCACTGCCTTTCGTTTCGCCTTCTTTGCCAACCCGCACGTGTCCGCTGCGGTGTACCTGTAGATGGCGAATGACAGCACCATGTGTAACAGGAGCATAGTTAGTCAAGCAGTACTTTTCAGTACTATCTTTTGTATAGTTCTATAATTTCACTCTTCCCATTTTATCCTCCATTTGAGCAAGGTTTCGCCTGGTTCAATGAAGTAATTTACTCTTCTTTGTCTCCCTCTTCATCCTGCTCCTCCCACCCCTCTCCACCCCACCCCACCCCACCCCACCCCACCCCACCCCACCGTCCAAATCCAGGCTAACCCCATTGCGGTTCCACGAGCGGGCGAGTCTGCTGGGCCGGTTCCTCGCACTCCCTCTCACCCCCTCCCACCCGTCCCTGCCGCTCCCCACCCCTTCACCGCACAGATCCAGGCGAGCCCAGGCGTGGCCATGGTGAGGTTCTACGAGCGCGCGAGCCTGCTGGGGCCTATTGGGCTCATGCTCGCGCTGCAGTTCCAACCTGTCGTCGTGCACGTGGAGGCTGACCAGGACTGCTTTCTTAATTACAACGGGGTGAGTTGGGTGCGGTGGAGAGGGGCGGGAAGTGGTGGGCAGCGGTGGGGTGGGTTGTTGGATGCTTGTGCACTTACTGGTGCTGCAGCTCTAGAACACCTCTTAACCACTCCACCTCCACCCCCCCACTTTCCCCTCCACCCCCCTTCCCCCCCCTTCCTCCCCCCCCCCAGACGAGCATTCTGGAGGATAAGACGTGCTTTGCCAACCGCATGGTGAACCATGTGGTGGTGCTGGTGGGGTATCACCTGGAGGACCAGGGCCAGCCGGGCAGCTACTTCATTCTGCGCAACAGCTGGGGCACCACGTGGGGCGATAATGGCCACATGCGCATCGGGTTTGACCGCTCGCCCTTTGGCTACTGCGGCATGTGGAGCGAACCGGGCTACTACCCCATGCTGCCTGGTGAGCGCTAGGTTACTACCCCGCCATTTTTTTTTTTTTTCCGCATTCGATATGCCCGTATCTGCCTCTGGGAAGAGGTGCATCGGCTGCCCCTGCGACCCAATGCCCTCTCTCCCCCCTCCGTTCTTTTCCCCCGGTCCCTTCCAGCAAATGGTGCCCCGGCTTCCCCTGTGGAACTGCCAGGTGCTCCAACCCGCCTCTCTTCCCTTGGGATCACAGGCCTCCCTATTCTCACCTCTCCCCCCTCTTCTTCCCACTTCCCCCCTCTCCCCCCCTCTTCTTCCCACTTCCCCCCTCTCCCCCCCCTTGTTTTCAGCTGTCCCCGGCAAGTGGTGCGCCGGTTTCCCCTGCGGAGCAGGCAAGTGTTTCGACCCGCCTCAGCAGCAGCAGGCGCCCAAGCCGGGGGAGAAGCCGAAGCAGTACTCGTGCGACTGCACCAACCAGCCGTTCCTCATCCCCGCTGTCAATGTCGACGGCACCGACACCTGCATCGTTAGTGAGTGCCGCTTGCTGCGTGCTGATGGTGATTGAGGGGTGAGCATGAAGCCGGGGGAGAGGGAGAAGCCAAAGCAGTCCTACTCGTGCGACTGCACCAACGAGCCGTTCCTCATCCCCGCTGTGAACGTCGACAGCACCGACACCTGCATCGCCAGTAAGAGGCTTTTTCTGCGGATAGAGGGGAGTGCATGATTGATCAAGCCAGGAGAAAAGCCGTGTCTTCTGAGTTGAAAATGGACTTGAAAGCTCCGGAACTGTAACCCTTCTTCCCTTGTTTCCGCCTCTCTCCTCTCTCCCTTTCCCCTCCTCTCCCCTACACCAGAGACGGTGTGTATGCTGCAGCTGCAGAACCCGTGTGGAGCCGGCACGTGTATGGACGATGGTGCGGGGGGCTATAACTGCACGTGCCCTGCCAACTACACCTCCACCGCTCGCCCCGACGGCACCGCCACCTGCATTCCGCGTACGTCTAGTTTATAGGTGTCTTAGAACAGGACACAACACAATCGCACGTGCATGGACGATGGTGTGGGGGGCTACAAGTTACAACTGCACGTGCCCTGCCAACCACACCTCCACCGCTCGCCCTGACGGCACGGCTGCTTGCATTCCGCATATGTCCGAATCGCGCTCATCATTCTGCCTCTCCATCCCTGTTGTCTGCATTTCACCCGCCCTCTTACCCTCGCTCTCAACTGTTCCTCTACCTCATGCCACTTCCACTTCTTCTCCAAGTTCCAAGGGGCACAAACTATCTCCTCGCCTCGCCTCGCCTCGCCTCGCCTCGCCTCGCCTCGCCTCGCCTCGCCTCGCCTCGCCTCGCCTCACCTCGCCTCGCCTCGCCTCGCCTCGCCTCGCCACTCCTCTCCTCTCCTGTCCTCTCCTCTCTCCTCCTTTCATTTCTCCTTCACCGCCTCCTTTCCCCTCCCATCCCTGATCGCAGCCCCACTCGCAGCAACCACATACACCATCCAGGCGGGCGACACATGCGACACCATCTGTGCCGCTAACAACATCACCACCACTGACTTCCAATCCATGAATGCGGTGGGTGTTCCTCTTGGTGTATTGTGGTATACACATGGCTGCATGCACATGCACATGCACATGCACATGCCAACATGCACATGCACATGCACATGCACATGCCAACATGCACATGCACATGCACATGCACATGCCAACATGCACATGCACATGCCAACATGCACATGCACATGCACATGCCAACATGCACATGCACATGCACATGCACATGCACATGCACATGCACATGCCAACATGCACATGCACATGCACATGCCAACATGCACATGCACATGCACATGCCAACATGCACATGCACATGCACATGCCAACATGCACATGCACATGCACATGCACATGCACATGCACATGCACATGCACATGCACATGCACATGCACATGCACATGCCAACATGCACATGCACATGCACATGCCAACATGCACATGCACATGCACATGCACATGCCAACATGCACATGCACATGCACATGCCAACATGCACATGCACATGCACATGCACATGCCAACATGCACATGCACATGCACATGCCAACATGCACATGCACATGCACATGCACATGCCAACATGCACATGCACATGCACATGCCAACATGCACATGCACATGCACATGCACATGCCAACATGCACATGCACATGCACATGCACATGCCAACATGCACATGCACATGCACATGCACATGCCAACATGCACATGCACATGCACATGCACATGCACATGCACATGCACATGCACATGCACATGCACATGCACATGCACATGCACATGCACATGCACATGCACATGCACATGCACATGCACATGCACATGCACATGCACATGCCAACATGCACATGCACATGCACATGCACATGCCAACATGCACATGCACATGCACATGCACATGCACATGCACATGCACATGCACATGCACATGCCAACATGCACATGCACATGCACATGCACATGCCACATGCACATGCACATGCACATGCACATGCAACATGCACATGCACATGCACATGCACACATGCACATGCACATGCACATGCACATGCACATGCACATGCACATGCCAACATGCACATGCACATGCACATGCCAACATGCACATGCACATGCACATGCCAACATGCACATGCACATGCACATGCACATGCCAACATGCACATGCACATGCACATGCCAACATGCACATGCACATGCACATGCCAACATGCACATGCACATGCACATGCCAACATGCACATGCACATGCACATGCCAACATGCACATGCACATGCACATGCACATGCACATGCACATGCACATGCACATGCACATGCCAACATGCACATGCACATGCACATGCCAACATGCACATGCACATGCACATGCACATGCACATGCACATGCACATGCCACATGCACATGCACATGCACATGCACATGCACATGCACATGCACATGCACATGCACATGCACATGCACATGCACATGCACATGCACATGCACATGCACATGCACATGCCAACATGCACATGCACATGCACATGCCAACATGCACATGCACATGCACATGCACATGCACATGCACATGCACATGCACATGCACATGCACATGCACATGCACATGCCAACATGCACATGCACATGCACATGCCAACATGCACATGCACATGCACATGCACATGCCAACATGCACATGCACATGCACATGCCAACATGCACATGCACATGCACATGCCAACATGCACATGCACATGCACATGCACATGCCAACATGCACATGCACATGCACATGCCAACATGCACATGCACATGCACATGCCAACATGCACATGCACATGCACATGCACATGCCAACATGCACATGCACATGCACATGCCAACATGCACATGCACATGCACATGCACATGCCAACATGCACATGCACATGCACATGCACATGCACATGCACATGCACATGCACATGCCAACATGCACATGCACATGCACATGCCAACATGCACATGCACATGCACATGCCAACATGCACATGCACATGCACATGCCAACATGCACATGCACATGCACATGCCAACATGCACATGCACATGCACATGCCAACATGCACATGCACATGCACATGCCAACATGCACATGCACATGCACATGCCAACATGCACATGCACATGCACATGCACATGCACATGCACATGCACATGCACATGCACATGCACATGCACATGCACATGCCAACATGCACATGCACATGCACATGCACATGCCAACATGCACATGCACATGCACATGCCAACATGCACATGCACATGCACATGCACATGCCAACATGCACATGCACATGCACATGCACATGCCAACATGCACATGCACATGCACATGCACATGCACATGCACATGCACATGCACATGCCAACATGCACATGCACATGCACATGCCAACATGCACATGCACATGCACATGCCAACATGCACATGCACATGCACATGCCAACATGCACATGCACATGCACATGCACATGCACATGCCAACATGCACATGCACATGCACATGCACATGCACATGCACATGCACATGCCAACATGCACATGCACATGCACATGCCAACATGCACATGCACATGCACATGCCAACATGCACATGCACATGCACATGCACATGCCAACATGCACATGCACATGCCAACATGCACATGCACATGCCAACATGCACATGCACATGCACATGCACATGCCAACATGCACATGCACATGCACATCCCAACATCCACATGCACATGCACATGCCAACATGCACATGCACATGCACATGCCAACATGCACATGCACATGCACATGCCAACATGCACATGCACATGCACATGCCAACATGCACATGCACATGCACATGCCAACATGCACATGCACATGCACATGCCAACATGCACATGCACATGCCAACATGCACATGCACATGCACATGCCAACATGCACATGCACATGCACATGCACATGCCAACATGCACATGCACATGCACATGCCAACATGCACATGCACATGCACATGCCAACATGCACATGCACATGCACATGCCAACATGCACATGCACATGCACATGCCAACATGCACATGCACATGCACATGCCAACATGCACATGCCAACATGCACATGCACATGCACATGCACATGCCAACATGCACATGCACATGCACATGCCAACATGCACATGCACATGCACATGCCAACATGCACATGCACATGCACATGCCAACATGCACATGCACATGCACATGCCAACATGCACATGCACATGCACATGCCAACATGCACATGCACATGCACATGCCAACATGGACATGCACATGCACATGCCAACATGCACATGCACATGCACATGCACATGCCAACATGCACATGCACATGCACATGCACATGCACATGCACATGCACATGCCAACATGCACATGCACATGCACATGCCAACATGCACATGCACATGCACATGCACATGCCAACATGCACATGCACATGCACATGCCAACATGCACATGCACATGCCAACATGCACATGCACATGCACATGCACATGCCAACATGCACATGCACATGCACATGCCAACATGCACATGCACATGCACATGCCAACATGCACATGCACATGCACATGCCAACATGCACATGCACATGCACATGCCAACATGCACATGCACATGCACATGCCAACATGCACATGCACATGCACATGCCAACATGCACATGCACATGCACATGCCAACATGCACATGCACATGCACATGCCAACATGCACATGCACATGCACATGCCAACATGCACATGCACATGCACATGCCAACATGCACATGCACATGCACATGCCAACATGCACATGCACATGCACATGCACATGCACATGCCAACATGCACATGCACATGCACATGCCAACATGCACATGCACATGCCAACATGCACATGCACATGCACATGCACATGCACATGCACATGCACATGCACATGCACATGCCAACATGCACATGCACATGCACATGCCAACATGCACATGCACATGCACATGCCAACATGCACATGCACATGCACATGCCAACATGCACATGCACATGCACATGCCAACATGCACATGCACATGCACATGCCAACATGCACATGCACATGCACATGCCAACATGCACATGCACATGCACATGCCAACATGCACATGCACATGCACATGCCAACATGCACATGCACATGCCAACATGCACATCCACATGCACATGCACATGCACATGCACATGCCAACATGCACATGCACATGCACATGCCAACATGCACATGCACATGCACATGCCAACATGCACATGCACATGCACATGCCAACATGCACATGCACATGCACATGCCAACATGCACATGCACATGCACATGCACATGCACATGCCAACATGCACATGCACATGCACATGCCAACATGCACATGCACATGCCAACATGCACATGCACATGCACATGCACATGCCAACATGCACATGCACATGCACATGCACATGCACGGGCCAACAACATCACCACCCCTGCCTTCCAAGCCATGGTAGGATTCCTCCATGCGTTCCCCTCATCCCTTCCCTTGCCCCACACCCCTCACCCCTTCCCCCCACGCCTCCTCCCACCAGGCCATTGACTGCAGCACCAACCTGACAGCGGGGGTGACTGTGAACGTCACGTCAGCATCGGCTGTCAAGATGTGCATCAACTACTACACCATGCAGCCGGTACGCTCCTTCCCTCGTCTCCTCTCCTCTCGCCTCTTCTCCTCTCGTCTCCTTTCCCCTCCTCTCCTGCCACAATTACCGCACCAGGCAACCTGCATGGCTGAAAATAGTGCTCACTCCAAATGCACACTCTTTTCCCTGTCTTTTCCCTCCTTCCCCTTTCTCCTCATCAGAATGACACGTGTGAATCAATCGCCGCCAAGTTCAACCTCACCAGTCTCACCTCCCCCAACCCCACCCTCAACCGCACTTGGTCTTCTCGACTTAAATACACACTCTCTTCCCCGTCTCCTTCCCCCTCCCCATCCCTCATCAGAACGACACGTGTGCATCCATAGCTACCAAGTTCAACCTCACCAGTCTCACCTCCATCAATCCCACCCTCGACTGCACCAACATCACAGCCACCCAAGTAAGCCTCCCTACCCCACATAACCCTCTCTCAAATACTATTTTCCACCTGACCATCGCCCACCTACCCCTACCCCACACGCTGAGCCTCATTGCCACTCCAACCCTCCACTCTTACACGCTCTCTGCTCTTGCACGCTCTGAACTCTTACACTTTCTTGCTCGTTCTCAACTCTCTAGCTCCCTCTACCTTCCCCTCAGTTCTGTCTGGAACAAGCCCAAGCCCTCCCCCTCGCCTCCGTGGCAACAGCGTGTGCACAGAGCATGGCACACTGAGTCTCATCCGCCCCACCTCATGCACTCTCTTTCTCCCCTCACTATGAGTGCGTGGAGATAGCCCAAGCCCTCCCGCCAGCGTCACTGTCAATCAACGGTGTGCACGGGAGCATTACACGCTGAGCCTCATTGCCACGTGTGCCCCGTTCTCTCACTCCAACGCCCTCCCTTCTCCCCTCAACAGGTGTGCGTTGAGATGGGCCAGGCCCTTCCCCCGGCGTCAGTATCAACAGTGTGCACCGAGTATTACACGCTGAGCGCCACTCTTCCCAGCTCCTCACTCTCGCTCTACCCCTTCTCTCACTCACCCTCCCACTCTCTCCTCAACAGGTATGCGTTGAGATGGGCCAGGCCCTTCCCCCAGCGTCAGTATCAACAGTGTGCACCGAGTAGTACATGTCAGCGCCACTCTTCCCAGCTCCTCACTCTCGCTCTACCCCTTCTCTCACTCACCCTCCCACTCTCTCCTCAACAGGTGTGCGTTGAGATGGGCCAGGCCCTTCCCCCAGCGTCAGTATCAACAGTGTGCACCGAGTATTACACGCTGAGCGCCACCGACACGTGTGCGAGCGTGCAGAGCGCGTACAGCCTCACGGCCACGGAGCTGTACCGGCTGAACCCCGGCCTCAACTGCAACAACCTCATCGACTACTCTGACTCCTCGGTGAGTAAGGAGAGAGGGTTTGAGAGGCAGAGCGAGTGCGAGTGACGCATGTGGGCGCGTACAGAGCGCGTACAAACTCACGGCCACGGAGCTGTACCGGCCGAACCCGGGGCTCAACTGCAACAACCTCATCGACTACTCTGATTCCTCGGTGAGTCCAAGGAGGAGGAGCTGTCAAGAAAGGTGTGGTTGTGTGGAGGCAGAGCGGTGTGAGTGTGAAGGCGGGGTTGAATCTGCTCTCAGCCACGGAGCTGTACTGACTCAACCCGGGTCTCAACTGCAACAACCTCATTGACTACTCCGATACCTCGGTGAGTGTGGGGGAGGGGGCTGAGATTCAAATGTGGAAGCATGTGGGCAGAGTGAGAAACCTCAGCTTCTATGCAAGAACCCCCCATGTCTCAAACCTTCAAATCCTTCCTGCACTGGTTTCCCTACCTCATGCTTCCTCTCACTGTCCTCTCCCCCCCCCTCCCCTCATGCCCCCCTCTCACTGTCCAACGCACAGCTCTGTGTAGCGCAAGCCAAGTTCGGCGCCTCATCATGCAGCAAGCGCTACACGGTCAAGTCGGGCGACACGTGTGCGGCCATAATCTACAAGTACTTCCGCGGGAAGACCTCCTATGTCAGCAAGCTCAACAGCGGCTTCGTCTGCACCTCCTCCACCCTTAATGTCGGCCTCTCCCTCTGCGTCTACAACCTCTGATCTTATTGTTGCCGCCATGCCCGCCAGTTCTATCGTCTGCTCTGCACCTCCTCCACCCTCTGTGTCGGCCTCTCCCTCCGTGTCTACAACCTGTGACCGTTGCCGCCCGGCTGAATGCGTACGCTGAGTGTACATGCACAGTGCTGGCAGTGGTGTGTCTAAAATTTTGTATGCATAGCAGCAAGTTCAACATTGGTTCTGTGTCTCATAAACGCTCAGCATTGGCCTTGTAAGCGACTGTGGCATGTACCGCAGCTGTTGCTGGTGAATGTAGAAAGTTGCCTGTACTATGTGTATTTGTAGACATGATTTGATTTGAACATCTATAACCAACACACATCTATATGCAACAGACTGCATCAACCAGTGACAGAAACAAATGACTGGTACATGAACCAGTGACAGCAACAAATGACTGGTACATGAACCAGTGACAGCAACAAATGACTGGTACATGAACCAGTGACAGCAACAAACTGCATGTGACCACTCAACATTCCAGGGTCTACATCATTACATTGGAAATCGGGCTGAAGACCAGGAATGTATGATCACACCAGAAATCAGTGAAATGGACATGAACAAACAGACATACGGTACCGTAAACAGACAGCCTGACGTACGGTATGATCAAGAAATACGCCAGAAGAACCATCAGCCCAACACCTGGTCACATCTGCTAGGTCTAATCTGATCCGACCCCCCAGGATCTAGGATGACTAGAAACTGATTCAGGAGAACACGACGACCTTCTCATCCGCGCCGTAGCGCACCCAGTTCCCGCCGAACGCCCAGTTCTCGTACCCGCCATTGCCAAGATTCTCCACGGAGAACGGGCCCTGCTTGTAAAACACCTTGAACTCGGAGTTATCCCAGAAGTGCCACACCTCCACCTGCGCGGACGCCGGGTCGCCCTGCACGGAGTGGTCGCTCTGAATGACCATCACGTTGTACCCCGCGTTCATGAATATCTCCACGATCTTCGTCGTCACCTCGTCGTCCTCTGGACCGTCGATCGTGCCCAGGCTGCCCGCAATGATCTGATCGACGGTCACGCCGTCCCAGCTGAACAGCTTCCGCTCCACCCTGTGCGGGGATACCGCGGAATCCGCGCTGGTGTCGGAAGGGGACGCGTGCAGGATAGGCCGCGCGGCGCTGGCGTTGGTGACGGCGAAGAGGAGCAGGACGGAGAGAGTGAGAGGAAGCAGCTTGCGAGCCGAGTGAAGCCAGGAGTTAGCCATTGAGAAATCGGTTCGATGGTCAGCTCTCAGTTGTACAATTTGGCAGAGACTGTCAACGGTGAAAATCTAACCTTGCACGTTAATGGGAGTGAGAATCACACGGGAGAATTCAAATCCGTGAGCCGCGAGGTGCTTGGTATTAGAAATCGAAGGCAGTAAGAGTAAACGGAGGCAGAAGCTGTGATGATTGAGGTGAGACGCAGCATATAATTTATAGCGCTTAGCATAAATCGGAACTGGAGATGGACTCGCTCGGGCCGCCATGGCCAATTTCTAGCGTAGGGACTACGCGAGGACGTGATTGAAACGCGAGTATGGAGCTCCTCGGGTCCGACTAAGGGGTTGGTAGCGGAGGTGGGGAATAGCTAATGCGAGTTAGTAATGGAACCGACTTGCAGTAACGCTGTGGGCGTGGTGAGCTGAGGCGTGTCGAGGGGTGGAAGGGAAGGGTGGAAGGGAAGGGAAGAAGGGAGGTGGGTTGCTTTGCTGCAGGCGAGGGTCGTTCCGCCTGTTGGCGAAATTAACGATGATAAGCACGCGTCGTCTGAAGTGATTTGGGGTAACGAGCGCGATGACGTTTCAAGCTACACCGCGTCCTTGACATTTTCACCAGAAGTAGAGTTAGAAATGAACAAATCACATTCGGCCATTTCAGCATCTACGGATTGTGCATGCACACATGGATTCATAGCAGATAATGAATGCTTTGGAGAGCAATCGTTTTTTTTTCCTCATGTTACGATATGAAACTTTACGAGAAGGCATTCCTATGCTGCAGGGACCGACTCTAAAGTGTATGAAGCCGTGGAGTCAGAAGAGTCGAAGCGACACTGGTAACCGTCTGATCAAGACCGATGCAGGCTTCGAAGTGAAAAGAGCGGGAACAGGTTTGAAACGGGTTCCCGCGCCGCACGGTTTGAACTTCGCTGTAATAAGGGAATGTACACCTTAGAGTACATGGCTAGTCTAGATCGTTTCGTATTCCTTTGTATTTGCTATATGAACTCAATGTATGCATGCTATTATTAATCTGTCATTTACATTCACTCTGACCTGAGTTCACTACTTCCGGTGCAACACTACCTTGCGATCAACCATGAGCGATCCTTCGCTAAGTCCCACTTGGGATTGTAACATGGTATGAGAGCTACTCAGGGGATATTCGCAACTTCACTTCCGTGAAATTCGCCGAATCACGATCAGGCGAGCGGCACACGCTCCAAGACCAAGATGGCCGGAGGATCCGGAGGCCAAGCGAATTTGACGGACGAATGACAAACCAACCCGGCTGGGACAAAGGAGGCGACAACCACGATCAGCACTGCCGCACTCGAGCAGTTATTTTCGCGACTATCAACTATGGAGAAAGATCTCCAAGAGCTGCGCAAAGGCGATGCGGGAACCTCTTCCCAATCAGCACAACCTGGACAACCGGCTACGAAAAGCCGCGATACCGCCGCACACACCTTCTCCCTCGACACAGTCAAATCAACAACATCTGCCCCCCCGTCCAAGTGATGAATTTATCAACTCTGCGCAAGCACGCTTTCTAAGCGTTTCAAAAATCAAGACTACTGCCGCGTTTGACGGCAAAGACCTTTACATCTGGAGTTTCGAGCTTGAGCTCATCCTACAAACAGCGCAGATCTACCACTATTTTGATGGCTCCTACTCTAAACTGGTGGAAAACACCGACGACGCCAGGGCTCAGTACTACAGCGAGTCCCTCATGGCGTACAGTGTGCTGCTACGCAATATGACGCCTGCGGAACAACTCAGCATTCGCTCCTACAAAGAGAGCGCCGCTCCAGCTCTGGAAGCTTGGAAGCACCTCGTTGAGGTATATCAACCGAAGGATTCGGTCACCGCCAGCAGGCTCCTGCAGCAACTCATGGAGACCAAGATGGGGCACGGGGAGAAAGCAAACTTCTACATTAACCGTTGTCGGAACATTCGTGACCATATTACGAAGCATGGAAGCGCAATTTCGGAGGAGATCTTCGTCAATATCGTCCTCCAGGGACTCGGGCCAGAGTGGAAGCCCTGTAAAGCGCTACTCCGACAACGTGGAATTATCTCTGAAGCCGCGCTATGCGCCGCCCTCCTGACTGAACAGCAGGACATGGACTCCGCACTGCGCCGAGAGAGCCTCGCCTTCTACACAGACAACCGTGAAGAGCGACGACAACCAAGGCGCCATTATTGCAAAATATGCATGGTCTTCGGACATTCAACGGATCGATGCAAATCCCGATCCAACTATCGTTACCCGAATTCCACTCACCACAACAACTGGGTCGGCCGACAAGACGCTCGTCATTCTCAGCCCCAGCATCAAACCTCTCGCCCTCCTGCACAACACCAACAACAGCAAGCACAAGGACCCCAAGGAGGAGCTCCTAGAAACATGATTGCGAACATGGCGGCTAGGCGCCGCCCTCGCGCTGCTGAACCAAACGAAGAGGACGAACTACGCGGTGAGCTCATTCAACCTGAAGAAGGGTGGAACAACCCTCTCACAGAAGACCACTACTACCGCTATGACGAAGACGAGCAAGATTTGCATCAGCCAATACAGCTGCGAGAAAGCCCGCCTCACGAGCATCAGCGCTTCGTACCTGTGGGATGGAAGGAGGACGAAGACCCGTCGTTCCACAGACGCTTCAAGGTGACACTGGTGACTCCGCGACTCGCGCTACTTTTGCGCAACAACAACTCTGACAATTACAACACCTGGTACCTGGACAGCTGCTGCGGCCAACACATGGTGGGATCTGTTCGATATGTTTCGAACATCAGCCGCGCCCCCGCTACCTACGTCACAGTTGCCAACAACGAGCAACTGCGCGCCAACGCGCAAGGCATCGTGGTGCTACAAGTACGAGATAGCAACACCCACATCTCTCTTCAACGACGTGCTCTTCGTACCAGACCTCCGCTTCAACTTGCTCTCGGCAGGACAACTCCGAGATTGCGGAGTCGTGCTATCCACAGACCCGGACACACGCGACCTCATCCTCACCTATGTTCCCCCGGACACCCCTCCCGAGTCGCACAAATACCTCGGGCGAGCTCGCTCAATCAACGACATCTACGTTCCGGACTTCGACATACCCAGCTGTCAAGCTTCATCAGATGAGCTCGTGGATCTCGTCCCCCTGGACTTCCCTTTCATGGGCGAAAAGTCGTGGCAGCACCCAGACGGACGACCATGGATTCGCCGCAGTCCGCACCCCCGTGAAATCAATCTGCACCAGCCCGACATCAACGGCCTCTGCACCACCTGTCACACACCAATGGCAAGCTGCACAGAAGAACTGGAAAGAGATATTGCGGCAATCCAAGAGGCGGAGAGCGCTGAGGAAGAGCCCACTGGGATGACCGAGATGGAGCTCGCTGTCACGACTCACCGCATCTTCGGCGAAGAAAATGAAGGTTTGGACAGCAACGGCAAGAGCGCCCAACGCCCCGCGCTGAAACCCTCCGATGGGTCCGAGAAGCAAACATCGGAACCTTCGATGACGAAGGACGCCCGCGCCCATACACCCGTGACGTCTACCGCAAGGAAATGGACAAAGGGTGGAAAGATCCTGACGCAAAAGAAGAGCTGAGCGTCAAGGAAGAAGAAGACAAGGCAAAGGCAGAAAAGAAGCAGAAACTATATGAGGAGCGCGTAGCGGCCGGATGGGACGAAGAATCAGCACGACGTGGCGCATGGGGAGACGACGACTACATACCAGAGCCCGGTGCAACATGGGG